GGAGAAGTAGTTTACCCTGAGTTGCAAGGTTCAAATGTCAGAGCCAAGAGGGGAAATCAATTCTGACTCCTAGTCCTAGGCTCTGTTCCGTGTACCAAACCACCTCTTTTGATGAACTTCATGCAAGTAGGAAGAGAACATTCAAAGTGACCAAAAGTATGGTAGTACATACTTTTTTGACATAACCAGTTACAGATGATTCACTGATCACAAAGAACCCAGGAGGTTGTCATTTGGGAAAACAGTTAAGAGGACAAGGATCTCACCCTGCATATAGGCTCCTAGTCCTGGACTATGTCCAATCCCTTGGAGATGTAAGGAAAAAGGGTAGAAGGAGGGAGACAGATATGGAATTCCTATAGTCTTCCTAGCCCTGGCATTTTTAGCAAGAGTCTCACATTCCTAGATTTGGCAAGACTTCTAGTTATTAAAAAAAAAAAAGAATTGGGATGGCAGGTGGCAGGTAGCCATAGAGGAAGAGAAAGTCCAAGCTTCAAGTTTTAAATTCTCTGTGCTCTCTAGCATGACCGTCTTTCCTGTCTACAGTCTTCTATTCCTGCTATCCATGTCCTCTTATTTAACTTCCCAAATGGTTGGTAAGGATTTATAAAGTGCTTGTAGATCCTCAAATCTCAACTGCTGTCTGTTGACACATGGCTATGCCAAAAAGATGGCACTACGCCTACAGCTAAATGTTGGTGAGGAGTGGGACTCAGGGAAACACTGTAGCAATTTAGTGATTATTTTTTTTAATTTTTAGGCAATTGGGGTTCAGTGACTTTCCCAGGGTCACACAGCTAGTAAGTGTCAAGTGTTTGGTCTGAGGCCGGATTTGAACTCAGGTCCAACCAACTACAAGGCCGGTGCTCTATCCACTGTGCCACCTAGTTGCCCCAATTTAGTGCTTATAACCAGCATATGCATATCCTTTTAATTCTATATTCTGTGCATCCCTCTCACTCCCATGTCTTAAGAATTAATAGAATGTTAAAGGAAGAAGGGATCTGAAAGATCATTTAGTCCAAACTCATTTTGCAGATGAAGAGAGAGAGGCCCAAACTGAGGAAATGACTGAGTTAAGACCACACAGTCAGTAAGTGGCAAAACAGAGCCTTGAACCCAGGTCTTTAGACTTTAAGGTTTCTTTTACTTAGTATTTCTTGCTGTTGGGGATGTCAAGGGAAACTAGAAAATACCAGCCCCCTTGCCACAGAGAAGCTGGGAACTTATAGCCTATTTAGGGAAACTAGCCTCACCCACACATAAAAAAAACTATTCAAGAATAATAGCAATTTACAATCAGGTGTCAAACAGGCTCATATGTGCTGAGGTCAGAGGAGGGAGGGACCAGTGTGCACTGCTAGGAAGATCCCTTGGGGAAAGCGGCTTTAAGCTAGATTTTCAGGCTCCTGAAAAAGCCTCTGACCCAAGAACAAACAGAGTTTCTATACTCATGTCTCTCTGGATGGGTTCGAAATCATTCCAAACTGTAGATATAACTGGCTATTTAAGAAGCCCAAGGAAAAGTTTCTTATTCTCTAGAAAGTCAGCAGGAGGCCAGGATCCTGGTTACTGAGGCCATTCTCATCACCAGCTCTTTATTTCCCATTGAAAGGCCTAACTCTGCAAAGATGGCACCAGAGGTTTCTGGGGAAATGATTATGTGGCCCCAAAAGGGGTATTGGACTTCTGGTCAAGGTTAAGCAATAGGAGTGAGTCACTGGCAGATTAGAACTCTCCATTCGTAGGCAAATATTTTTCAGCTAGAGAATCAAAGGCCAGAATGAGAGGCGGGAGCTAGGAGAGCCCTTCTCTGCAGAGTAGGAGTCAGAGAGGAATTTGCTATGGGACCACAGCAGGCATGGCAGTAATCATGCCAGCTAATTATCCAGCCCCTTTCATCCTCAGCTCACCAAGTGCCTAATCCCCACTACCCCCTCTGAGTTCAATAGCCAGGGAGGATTTATGGAGGAAGAAACAGAAGCATAGGGGAGCTAAATAAGTTACAAACTGGGCTTTAGCGTTCCCAGCTTGGGAAGGAATAGAAATGAAAGAAGGTTCAGAGTTCTGTCTTGCAATCTCACCAGTCCTAGCTCTTTGGGCCAAAACTTTGCTCATCACCTTAGCTAATATCCATGTATGGAAGAGAAGTGTTGTTTTTGATCATAGTTCCTCCCTTGGTTTACTCTTTCTACCTTCTTTTGGGCTTTCAGCTACCTAATTACCAAATGGGAATGACTTTCATTCCTCTCCAGGAAATTGTGAGAGTGAAGAGAGTGTTTCATTCAGTCAGCCTATATTGAGTATGCATCCTTTATGTGCAAAGCCAGTGCTAAATGCCATGAAAGGCTACCGGAATGGAGAAGACAGTCCCCGTCCTCATGGAATGTCTAGTCTAGGTAGGGAGCAAAGTACAACATGCATAGTAAGCCCTTAATAAAAGTTTATTGAATTGAATAAAACACAAATAACTACAATACAAGGTAGAATGTAATGTGTGTACTAAGAGAGATACAATAAAATGCTATGAGAATTAAGAAGACAGAGAAATTACTCCCACTAGGAGGGGCCAGAAGAGGCTTCTGGGAAGAGACAATGTTTGGGCTGAGCCTTGAAATATTGGTAGAATTTGGGCAGACAGAGACTGATAGGTCCTTAGGGCACTCCATGTAGAGGTAATAGTGCAAGCAAAGCTTGGAGTCTAGTTTAGTTAAGACAGCATTGTGTAGGGGAGCAGCAACATAAGGAAAAATAGGGTGGGGCCGGGTCGTGGAGGGTTTTGAATGCTAGTGAGTTTGTCTTTTCATTTGATGGGTGAAGAGGAATCACTGAAGAGTGATGTCTATAAAGGCAGGGAAACAACTTAGCAAAACCCTAATGAATGTAATGTAGGTTTCTTTAAAGTTATATTTAGGACAGTCAGAATTATTCTTAACTCATAATGCTCACATGGTTTTACTCACAGTTTCTACACTGTGACTAGCCCTGGGAGGGGGACAGGGTGATGCTCTCTGAGACAATGACACTACGTAAAGGACTCAGGTGTTTGCACTCAGGAGAGGATTCTCCTCCTGTTGCTGATGCTGAACACATCTCTGCTTGAGTCAGAGACCGGGGACTGCTAACTAAGCTTGGATTGGCTTTGGTGTCCAAGAACTTGAGGATGAAGTTGAGGGTGGAGGCGAGATCAGCTGTGGCAAAAGAAGGAGGTGGATGCCCAAGTCTGGCTCTAGTTTGACTCATCGTCCGTCATCTCCCCCACCCCCAGGCAGGGAAATGGAGGCCTAAACCAAGAGGAGGGATTTCCACCTAGAACGCTTAGTCTTTTTTGACCATACTGAGACAGTTTCCAGGTGGTCTCTGGGGCCTGACAGATTTCTTAGCATGCCAAGCTACTCTCCGGGGACTTCTGTCACTACCCCTCCTTGGAAAAGTACAGGAAAGAAACACTCCTTCCTGGCCTGCTGCCCTCTCCTAGTCTGACTTTCTCTTGGCCCATTATCTCAGAATAGGATTTGGTTACCGTTGTTTCTTGAAGCTTGATTCAGGGACTGAGGGCAGGATGGGTTGCTACCCCTGGGATTTGTCTTAGGGAAGAGGAGAGGGAGCATTTTGCACCAGGAAGTAGTCACGGAATGCCTGTGCCCGTGAGTTTGACATTCTTACCTGACCAGCCCAGGTTAGGACATTCAGCTGGGTCTGAGTTGAGATGGTATCCTCAGTGGGGGTAGTCTCTGATTCCTGGAAACCAGCTCTGGTATGGGGCTGGGCTAGGCTGAAGGAGCCATGTGATAAGAAATCAATGGCAACAAAGAGAATCTGGAGCTCTGGTCACCCAGTTCACCATCATCGAATTTTAGAACAGGGGCTGGACTTGGCCACAGGATTCCTGTCTCTCAATCTCGAGCTCATATTTAGAATCTGAGGGAGACTTTTGGCAGAGGTAAAACTGGCTGGGGCAGGGGTAGGGGGTGGGGAGGCAGGAAAGGGAATAGACTAGGGGACAGATGGGAAGAACCCGCTCTCAGTTTTCCTGTATCCAATTTCAGAGTCTCCAGGGATCAGGACTCTGCCCATACCACATCAGGCTTGGGATAGCCCACCTGTCACCAGGACTAAGTGGGGGTGGACCACCTTGGGGAGGAGGAGACGTAGGATTGAAGCAAGTTTCCTCTTGGAGGAGGAAAGGGAACAGCATGTGTAAATCATCTCTCTTGGCAAGATGTACTCTCTCACTTTGAAATGAAACTGTCTCCCAGCCCATATCCCAGGATCAGCTCGGGTTCTTGTATATTTTCCTTCTGGGCGTCACCCCAGCCACCCACCTCCCCCATGCCAAGGAAAGCTCAGGTAGGGTGAGGAATATGGGTCATTTGAAACCTCCCTTGGCCATATTCATGGCAAGTCCAGAACTGATCTGGATTGAACTGGGACAGGGACTTCTCTGGAACACTTTATGGAAGGACATCCCCCCCCCAACCCTCAAGTGGCCCGTTACAGCATGTACATGCAACACTTCCAATTCATGAATTTAGTCTGAGTGGTCCTAGCTGGGATCCCAGATGGTCGGCCCCAAGGGCTCTTTTCCCTCCAGTCATCATTCCTTGGTCATTTCTGGAAGGGTTCACTATTCTGGGGAGACCTGCAAAGGATCTCTTCTCTACAGTTCTGGTCCCACTGTTTGGAGTCTGTTAGTCACAGGACCCCGAGCACTTTATCTCCATGTGGATGAGCCTGCCCTTGGGTGCCTTCCAGAGACTTGGAGATTTTAATTTAATCCTGTCCAGGTAACTACCACCCAATTTTTCTCTAGGCTCTGTAATCCTGTTATTTTTCTTTCCTCCAAATGGGGTGAGAATAGAGAGAATCTGTCAAACAGCTCATTTGAGACCCCCCATGTTAGGCCCAGGTTACCTCAGAACCCTTAGACCTGACAGATGTTGAGGATCCCCAACGCTCTCTGGTCTACACCAAGGCTCCTCTCCCCTCCCTTTCTTCAGCAGACCCCTGCCTCCCCCTATTTCCTGTTCTGTCTGCAGAGTGAATGTGGAAGATGTCGAACCAGAGTGACGGCAACACCAAGCCCCCATGCTTGCCCCGGAATGGCCTGGTAAAGCTTGCCAGCCAGCCCAACGGCCTCAGCTCTGCCAGCATCACCAAAGGGACCCCAGCTGTGAAGAACCGACTCTGCCAGCTGCCCCCTGTGCCTGCCCTCACCAGCCCAGCCTTCCCAGTGCCCACCGAACGACCCCTGCCCAGCCTGGCGTCCCCCCTCTCCTTAGCTGCCTTGGCGGGGGGGCCGTGCCCCTCCTCTGAGCCCCTTGCAGCCGGACTGTCCTCTGGTGAGAACCCCAGCCAGGCTCCTGCCTCTCCCACAGAGAGGCAGCCCCTGGCTGTGGATGAGAAGATACTCAATGGCCTCTTCTGCTACTTCTCCGCTTGTGAGAAGTGTGTGCTGGCGCAGGTGTGCAAAGCCTGGCGGAGGGTGCTCTACCAACCCAAGTTCTGGGTGGGCCTCACCCCAGTCCTGCATGCCAAGGAGCTATACAATGTGCTTCCTGGAGGGGAGAAGGAATTTGTGAACTTGCAGGGTTTTGCCACTCGTGGCTTTGACGGCTTCTGCCTCGTTGGTGTCTCGGACCTGGACATTTGTGAATTCATTGACAACTACTCCCTGTCAAAGAAGGGTGTCAAGTCCATGAGCCTGAAGCGTTCTACTATCACTGATGCTGGACTAGAGGTAGGGGCTATGGGTGCGTGGGTGAGGCAGGGTTCATGCCATGCCTTCTGATGGGTGGAGTAAAGCACTCTGAGAGGGAGACAGGAGGAGAGGACAGTGGGAGAGACTGAGAATCAGGCATCACAAGGAGAAGCCTGGAGAAGGGAAAGAAAGAAACTGGATGGACAGAGGGCCCTCTCTGCTCCCCATGCACAGCCAGGAGTGGGAATGGGCAGAGCTGTGGGATTTGGGGTATAGGGAATCCCCACAGATGGATGGACATGTGAACTCAGCAAGGAAGTAGACAGTGGAAAGGGAGACCTATGGGATATTGAATGATCTAGATAGGAGGTGCTGGACTCTGGACTACGGAAGTTCACAGAATCAGAGAATTTTGAGCTGTAAGTGACTGTCCAAATCCTTCATTTTTAGAAACTGGATCTATGATTTCATTGGCATAGGCCCTATACTAACTATAGGGGACTCCCCCTGAGGGAACTTCTGCTACTATTCTGAAATTTCTCATTTTAGAGAGTGCCTAGGGAATTGAGAAGTTAGGTGACTTGAACAGGGTCACATAGCTAGTATGTGTCAGAGAGGGGACCAGGTCTTTCTGACTCCAGGGCTGGTTTTCCATCCATTATGTTATCCTGCCTAGCACAGCCCTCATTTTACAGATGACAAAACTGAGATTTGGAATGAAATAGAAAAACTCTTTTCTCTGAGACCTTACAGCTGCAGATCTGATTTGCTAGAGAAAAGGAGAAGAAGGGGAAGGGAATTAAAGGGGAGGAAGAAGAGTGCAGGCAAGAGGAGGGAAGTAGAGGAGAAAGAGAAAAGGTTAGTGGAGAAGAGAGGAAAGAAGTGAAGATATAGGGATTAGAGAAGAAAGGTAAGAAGATCATTACATGAAAACCTTGATGCCATTAGGTGGAAAAAGATATACCATCAGAAAAGCTAAGTGGTCTCATCAGCAGATCACAGTATTCATTCACCCACCAATAGTCTTCACTGAGCACCTAATAGATGCTTGGTACAATGCTGGGGTGAGGCATGGCTAGCTAGTCTAGGGGGTTGATACAAAGAAGTATGAGACATGGTCCCTGACCTTGGAGAGTAGACAATCTAGATGGGGAGATAAGTCATGTGCACACGGAAAGTTGAACAATGCCAAATGCTATAGGTTAAGGGTTGTCAGTGAGTGCTTCAATGAGGTGTTCAGAAAGAGAAATCACTGTCACCTGGAGTGATTTGGAAGGGCTTCCCCGAGGAAGCAAAACTCAAGCTGGTCTTTGAAGAAGGGGAAGGCAAGTGAGAGGTAGGGAGGGCATTCCATACAGGGAGTACAGTCTGAGCAAAGGACTAGAGCAAAAATCAAGGTGTTTCCAGGGACAATGACAAAAACCTGGCTAAAGCAGAGGATACCTATACAAACTCTGGATTTAGAGATCCTAGCCGTCTTTCCCCAGGACATTAAAAGCACAGGGACTCTAATCTAGAGACCAAAAGGGCTAAAATGATTAAGCTGGTTACGGTTCTATTGGCATTAAGTCCTTTGAAGAAAGGTGTCAGAGAGGTTTGGGGGCCCAAAGGAATCTGGCATGGGGAGGCAGGACTAGGGAACTCCCTAACACTGTGCTTCCTGCCATGCTCCCTCACAGGTAATGCTAGAGCAGATGCAAGGGGTAGTTCGCCTAGAGCTGTCTGGTTGCAACGACTTCACAGAGGCAGGATTGTGGTCCAGCCTCAACGCCCGAATCACATCGTTGAGCGTCAGCGACTGCATCAATGTGGCTGATGATGCCATTGCCGCAATTTCCCAGTTGCTGCCCAACCTGGCTGAGCTGAGCCTGCAAGCATACCACGTCACGGACACAGCTCTGGCCTACTTCACGGCCAAGCAGGGCTACACCACCCACACCCTGAGGCTGCACTCCTGCTGGGAGATCACCAACCATGGCGTGGTCAACATGGTGCACAGCCTGCCCAACCTGACTTCCCTCAGTCTCTCTGGCTGTTCGAAAGTCACGGATGATGGGGTGGAGCTTGTGGCTGAGAACCTACGAAAGCTCCGTAGCCTTGACCTGTCCTGGTGCCCGCGGATTACTGACATGGCCCTGGAGTATATTGCTTGTGACCTGCACAAACTCGAGGAGCTGGTGCTTGACAGGTATGCCCAGGAGGGATGGGTGTGAGCCAAAAGAAAGGGCAAGAATGGCACAGGTGTATGAGCACGGGTAGGCATGGGACAGCAACAGATTCTAAGTGTCCATCCCCTCTGGGTTTCAATGCCTTTGTTATCCTGGGCTGAACATTCCAATCTCTCTGGTACTTAGGGTCATTCTAGGAGTAAGAAGAAGCCTAGGATAGTGGGAGTAAGAGCCTGAAAACTTCTGACAGTCTTTGAAGGGAAAGCTAAGCGGAGGATTTGGTGACCAGGAATCTATGGGGTGGAAATAATTTCTTTTTAAATTTACATTTCCATATCCTTTTAAGTTTACAAAGTGTGTTTCCACCAACAGCCCCTGTGAGGCAGTCAATACAAGTATTATCACCATTTTACAGATAAGGAAACTGAGGTGAAAGGAGGGTGACTCATCCAGGAACACACAGCTAATGAAGGACAGAGCCAAGAATCGAGTCTCCTAACCCCCACTTACACTCTATCACATTGGGAATGATAACAAACCTCCCTGGGAGTCCTCTGTCCACATATAGTGAGGAGACCCTGGAACCCTGGTTCTTCTTCATTTGAGTGACCGTGGCTTTGAAGCCATAGCCAAAACCTTCCTTGCCAGAACATTGCCCCCTAGGAAGAAAAAAACAGTTAATATTTCCATGGTGCTTATCAAAACTCATTGAGAAATATATAGTTCAAGTAATAGGACCCCCATTTTACAGATGAGGTTTGGGGAAGGTAGATTGGAGAAAGAGGAGCCATCTAGGTTAACCTTGATCCCAGGGAGATACCCCTCTGGTCTGGTCCCACAGGTGTGTTCGAATCACAGACACTGGGCTCAGTTACCTGTCCACCATGTCTTCACTCCGAAGCCTCTACCTACGATGGTGCTGTCAGGTAGGAGTCCCCCTTCCCCCATGCCACCTTACAAAAACGTACACAGCAAGAGAGGCCTGGATAGGCCCACCTGAAGTTCCTTTCCTACTTCCAAATTTGACTGCCTAGAGTCAAGGGCCTTTCAAAGGAGGCATTGGGGTAGCCTCCTTGGAGCAAATCTTTCCCAGGATTTTCTTGTAGTCCCCTATCCTCCCCCTCTCCCCCAACATATGCTACTGCTAAAACAGAAGCTTTTTACCTGGGGTCCTCAGACCCCAAGGAGACCATGGATAGATTTTATGAACTTGGATAGGGAAAAAATACATCTTTATTTCAATACAATTAGTTTCCTTTGTAATCCTAAGTAATTTATTTTATTCATTTAAAAACATTATGAGGAGAGTTCATAGGTTTCAGGGGTCTGGAAAAGGAGTCCAGGACACAAAATTGTTAAGAACCCCTACTTTAGAAGACTCTTCCTCTACCTCCCCCAAATACACAGAATCTGAGTTAGAAGGCACCTCAGTGGTTACAGAGTCCAACCTGTACCTGCTCCTGAATCCTTACTACCACATTCCCAGAAAGTAGTCCTCCAACCCTCTTCTTGAAGACCTCCAGTGATGGAGACTCACCACTTACTGAGGCTTCCCATTTCCACTTTTGGAGAGTTCTAACTGCTACTGTGGTTATTTCTGCTATCACATTGAAGTCAGCTTCCTGATGTCTCCCACCCATTACTTGTAGCTCTGCCCTCTGGCAGGTTGGTGGGCGCTGGTGGCAGGTAGGATGAGCCTACTTGAAGTACTTGAAGACAACTAGCATGTCCTGGCTGACACTTCTCTGGGTTGACTAGGCCCCTTTTCTTCAACTAATACTCATGTGACATGGTTTCCGGTCCCCTCGCCCTCTATTTGTCTAGCTGGCCACAACACTGCAAATGAGGTCTGATCCAGGCAGAATACAGAGGAATATCACTTCCCTTGCTGCAGACACTTCGCATAGAGTCTAAGTTCTCATTTGGTTTTTGGTTTCCTGGTCACATTGTTCACTCACTGAGCTTGGAGTTCATTAAGAATTCCTTCTGGTTCTTTTTGACATAAGTATTGTCTAGCGTTACCTCTATCACACAATATTTATGTATTTGATTTCTTTTTGTTTTTCAAATCAGTTTTTATTGAGATCTTTCATTTTTACATCACGCAGATTTCCCCCTATATCCCTCCATTTCCCCCTCCCAAAGAGTCATCCTTTATAACAAAGGAAAACAAAAGAGGGAGAAGAGGGAAAAAAAATTGCACAAAACTGAGCAATACATTGAAAAACAGTTTGTTTTAACCCAAGTATAGAACTTTACAGAAAGAGGTGGTAGGATGGGATTATCAGTGGCTGGGCTCTCCCCTCTGTCTAAACACAGGGAGGGAAGGGAGATATGAGAAGGAAAATATTAACTGAGGCCCATTGGCTCCACAGGTGCAGGACTTTGGGCTGAAACACCTCCTGGCCATGAGAAGTTTGCGCCTCCTCTCTCTTGCAGGTAAGCTCTTTCTCCTCCACCTTTTACCCCATCTCTCTGCCCCCTGCCCAAACTCCCTGGTGTGTGGCCTCCAATAGAGAAGGGGGGCAGAGCTTCAACCCTGCGGGAGCAGCTCAATGGGAAGAGGGAACAGGTGGCATGCCCCCCACTCCCTGCCAAGATGAGGAAGCTACTCCTACCCTACTTCCCCAGAGGTGGTTCTGGGCCTCTCTTTCTTCCTCTACTCCAGAACCTGAGGTGTCCCAAGGGACTGATCAGCCCTTGGGGTGAGGGAGGCCATCCTCTACATAGGAGTCTTGAACCCCTAGATTTGCCCAGGCTCTGGGTTAGGGTGGGGGAACTGAAGAGGGTACTTGTTGCCCCATGCCTCTCATCTGCCCCTCCTCGTGCTTCCAGGCTGTCCCCTGCTGACCACCACGGGGCTCTCTGGCCTGGTGCAGTTGCAGGAACTGGAAGAGCTGGAATTGACCAACTGCCCTGGAGCCACCCCCGAGCTCTTCAAGTATTTCTCCCAGCACCTGCCCCGATGCCTGGTCATAGAGTAGGGGCCAGGCTGGGTTTGGGCCCATCCACCTTGGGACTTGGCCCCTCTTGCCCCACTCAGCTTCCTCCCTTCTCCATTCAGTTTCATTGTCCCACAGGGACCTAGGTCATGCTCCACATAGGACCTAGGAGTCCTAGGGACCCAGTCTAGCTCTTCCCCCGCTCCACCATTGCTCTGCCCTCCACCATCCTCTGCATCAATTTGCCAACTAACTCAAGCCAGGAATAGCTAAGGGGGGAAAGGGGGAGGGCAGGTGGCTACCTTGGTGCAGGCCAGCAGAAGGAGTGATAAAGGGGAGGTATGGACATTGATCCTTCCTCTTAAGTAGGCTAAGAAGGCTGGGCAGCCACAGGAGCTGAGGCCCTGCTTCCCACATTCACACATCACTACCCAGATGCTCAGGAGCAATTTGATCATCCCCCTACTGCCTTCCTACTCCTAATGCTCTCAGCTACTTCTGTCCCTGCATACCTGGGGTAGGACAGAGGCAATTTTGGAATACTATCCTATGTGGTAGCATAGCATCTATCCTTAGTGGTCCTAGAGAATCATAGGATCACAATTTAGAGTAGGAAGGAGAAGATTCCTGCTTTTGAACCTACACACACACATTTGCACGTGTGTACACACACACACACACATGCACACACACACACACATCCCACAATCTAGGCTCAGACTCCTCAGTTTTCTTTACACCCAAATTCTGACAGCAACCTTGAGGCTCATACCCAGGGCCCTTTTCAACTGTTCTCCCACTTTAAACACTCCCCTAAAACACATACACACACACACACACACACACACACACACACACACACACTATATACCCTGAAGCCTCAGGCCTTCCAGCTAAACCAATGGGTGCTGGGCATGGTACCATTTGTCATGGAGGGCTGCTGGACAGAGCCTATCCCCAGGAGCCCCCAGCAGGGGTTGATAAAAGGAAGAAATTGGGGATAGATTAGGACAGAGGCTCTGAGTTCCTAGAGTAGGGAAAGCATAATACCCTGGGGGAAGTGGGGTAAGAGAAATGACCACCCACTTTCTCTATCCTCTATCCAGAATGCTGTTTCCCAAGTGGTAGGCTCATCCTGTCCTTCAGAGAGAAGGAACCCCTCCCCTTCCTCGACTATGAGCACATACACATACATGGGTACACATGTGCATGCCCCTCTGTGCCCTGCTCTGCACGCCTGCCCACAATCATGTTCACCCATGCACAAATCCCGTCCCACCCACCCTAGCTCAGGCAGCTCTATCCCATTTCCCCCTAGACCTCTGGCCAGAGCAGCCCCTTTGGATCCCAGTCCTGGGTGGAGGTCAAGTGGAAATAGACCCATATTGAAGGCTAGCTTTGTTTCAAAAGGTACTGAAGAGAGTCCTTGATCTTGGTCTCTGTTCCTCAGGGCAAGAGTAATGCCCAGAGAGTTCAAGGCAAAGCCCACATCTCTTATTCCTTCCCATCTTTTTCCCTCTAGCTTCCTGCCTCCTTTCATCCCTCTCCTCCTTCTTCCTTGTTCTCAGATTCAGCTGTCTCCTCTAGCTCCCTTGGGCCCATTTCCATTGTGAGGCCAAGGGCTTGGCATGTCCAGCATGTGTTGCTGGGGGCAGGGAAGGGACTCACCTAGGCTTTGCTTTTGAACAGAGGCATTTAGTTTTTCTGTCCCCATACCCCAGTACCTTCTCCAAGTCTTCAGTGTCGAGGAGAGGCTTTGGTTTCCCCTTACGGGGAAACTGAGGTATAGTATGGCCAGGTAATCTGAGTGATCCTGTGTTAAGCAGAGAATGAAGCTAAAGATCTCACCTCAGATGGTTCTGGTGTTCCATAACCACTGTGAGGTCTGGTGCAAGCCAAGGATGTGGTAGGGGGGCATGTTCAGGGTCTTCCCTTCAGGGCCTGATTCCTCACCCTCCTTGTTTCAGGGAGCCCCTATTGACTCAGGCCAAATTCCCCCTCCCTTACCCTGGGTACAGCATTTACAGCCATGGCCTGAGGCAGGACTGCAAGACCACAGATAAACATTGACATTCTCTGCCATTGGAATCTTCTTCTTTATGGTGGGGGTGAGGGGGGAAAGGAAGAATATTGGAGGAGAAAGACTTCTACAGATCAAAGGATCACCTCTGGGTTTTGCTAGAGGAAGCCTGGAAACAGAAGATGTGGGTAGGGATGGTTCTGAATGAATGCCTCTTCCTGGGACTGGGTACAGTATCTCCAGGTGGGTTCAGATAGCTGTCCAGCTAAGACTCTCTCTTCCTGGTCTCAACCCATTCCACTGTTGATATGGCTCCTTCCCTCCCCCTTACCTGGATCTCTCATCCACATGGATGGGACAGACATGTGCTGAACATTGTCTCCCTCTTTCTCCACTCCCTGCCCCCTGGGACAGGAGCCAGTAAACTGGGGTCTGGGGACTGGGGCCTAGAACTGTACCTCTCCCCTCCACCTGTTCCCCTCCTCTCCTAGGAAGAAGCTTCCATTGGGTTCCCCAAATATAGCAATGGGTGCTGGAATAAGCTCTCTCTGTCCATCAAGCTTCCAAAAGCCCTCTTTTCACTGAGGGCCAACAGGACAGGAATGGTTTTTTTCAGCACTGCAACCCAATCTTTAATGTCTTCATGCTTTGGGGTTTGGGAACCATTTATACCCAACCTTGCCCAGGCTGGGACCCTGACCCCATAAGCCCCCAAGGACAACTCCAACCAGCAACTCTGATCTTCCACAGCATCTTGGTGGGGAAAAGGGCATCTTTATTGGCCACCCCTGACCCAACTTCTTCCCCCCCACCCCCACTCCACCCATCCCAGATGGTCTCTGATGATGGCCGCATAAGATCCTAAACCATTTGGAAGTCCTGGATTCTGGAATCGAAAGCTGGCACCAGCCTAGCAAGAGAGCTGAGGAGGGGAATTTGGGTCCCCTCCCATTCCAAACAGGAGATCCCCAGGAGACAGCGCTCCCCCTCACCTCATCCTGGGACAGACACCATCCTGGGAGCGAAGAGATTATTTCTGATTGGAAGAGACGAACCTATCCCTAAAGCTTCACCCCCCACCCCCACCCCACAGAGAGAAAAAGAAAGAGAGAGAAAGAGAGAGAGAGAGAGAGAGAGAGAGAGAGAGAAAGAAAGAGAGACTGTTGAAGTGAAACAGAGAAATGATTTGACAGCCCAAAGATTTTTCCTGTACCCTCGGAGCCAGACCATCTGGCCTGGGGCTCCGGGCTGACTTGGTTCTAAGCCAGTTTTCTCAACCCCCCTCCTCTGCTTTGTGCCCCCTGGGGTCAGGGAGGGGAATGGGAGAGGTGTTCATTGGTCCAAAGTATTAAAGTAACTGAAGCTGTGATATTTCCAACTACTGTAGGAGGAAAATAAAAGGGAGATAGGAAAAAAAAATCAACCCTGAAAACCATTTTCTTACTGTACATAACAACCTCATTCTCCTGTATATGCGGAAGATATAACCTTATATTTGGTAAGTGTTTCTTGTGCTATTTTATCACGTGACCTGTTTATAAAAATATATATTAAAAAAAAGTTGCAAAAACACTTGTGTTTAGTGCATTTCTTGATCTTGATAACATGAGATGGAACTGGTGTTGAGGACTCAGCCCCTGAGAAGGGAACAACTCACTCTCCCCTTCCTCCTCCTTGTCCAAATGTTATAAGTCTAATAATTACTATTACTACTATTACTAACTCTTTTTACTCCTCATAATGTTCCTAGGATGTAGGGCAGCTATTATCATTATTTTACAAATGAGGAAACTGAGGTAAAGTGTTTTGTAAAATTATAATTACTCAATTATGTATATATAATGTGCATATATATATACATACATATATATTAATCATATAGCCTGGTTTCTGTTACTACCACTTGGTTGTTAGAATGAAAAGAGAAACAGATTATGGATTAGAAGACCTGGGGTCAAGTCTCATCTTCATTACTGACTCACTGTGTGATTTTGGACAGACTCACTTCCCTACTTTGAGCTTTGGTTTCCTTACATGTAAAATGAGGCACTTGGACCAGATGCTCTTCAAGGTTCCTCCCAGCTCTGACATTCTGCAAATTTGTATTGTGTTTCATTTTGGCACCATATTTCAGGGAGAACATCAACTAAGTGGAGTATTTCCAAATGAGAGTGACTGAAGTGGAGATATTAATGGAAACTACACCAGATGAGGACCGGTTGAAGGATCTGGGCATAGTAGGGGGCAAAGAGAACCTAGGGGCATTAATGATAGCTGTCTTCAAGTATTTGAAGGACTTTACTGTGGAAGAGGGATTACACTTGTTCTGTCTGACCACAGACACAATAGTTGTAAGTTACAGAGGTCACCAGGGAAAATTTCCTAGGAATTAGCTGTCCAAAAATGGAATTCGTTCTTTGAGATAAAAGCAAATCTCCCATCACTTCAAGGTCTTCAAGGGATGTGGTAGAGAGGATTCCTGTGCAGGTACAGCTTAAGTCACCCTTGAGGCCCCTTCTGACTTACCTAGTGTTCTACAATTCTATTTAAATAACTTACTCAAGGTAACATAGTGGTGTAACCAAGACTAGAATATAGGTTTCCTAACTCCTGGTGTATTGCTTTTCCCTCTATCACACCGCTCTGTGCTGGTTCCTGAGAGCCAGCTGTTAAATTTTCAGTGTGAGTGAGCATCTACACCTCAGAAATCAGCAAACTCTAAAAATCTGAACTTGATTTATTGTATTGTTGATTGTCTATACCAGGGATTGGCAAACTATAGCCTGAGGATCAAATCTGGCCCATTTCTTGTTTTGATATGGCCTTTGAACTTAGAATGGTTTTTAGATTTTTAAATACAACAAAACTTTATTCAAAAATGTAAAAGCCATTCTTTTAACTCAGGCAGTACAAAAACAAGCAGTAGACTGGATTTGGCCCAAAAGTAATGGGAAAAATGTTAAAAAGGCAGATTAAACTTAAAAGCATATCCCATTTATTTTTGCTTTTTGATGAGGCAATCAGGGTTAAGTGATTTGTCCAGGGTCACACAGCTAGTAAGTGCCAAGTGTTGCATTTGAACTCAGGTCCTCCTGACTCCAAGGGCAGAGCTCTATCCACTGCGCCACCTAGCTATTCCTGAAAGTATATCCCATTTTTAGAATCTGTTGCTAAACATATACCAGCATACCCCCAGTCACTCCCCCAATATTCACTGGCACTGGTTGGTTGGGTCCTCAGAGGGACAGCTATTACTCCTTCTAGAATTCTAGGAGTAATTCCGTAGGTGACTTTCCTTATAACATTAGCTCATGAGTCCCCACTAGTGTGATTTCCCCTAACAATAATCCAATATGCTCAGTTCTTTAGCAAAAGAATGTACTCAAATGGCATAGCAGGAATAGTGTTTCTCCCAAGACCCGGGTACACCCTCCCACAAACAGAGTTCATAGAGGTGGGGAGGACGGGCATGAATTGACAGTGGTAGTGAGGCCTATGCGGAGCAAACACGTGTAGTCAAGACAATTCACAATTCCAGAAGTACAGAGCCTCATCTTTTCTTCTTCCTAAAGGTTTTCATGGAGTTTGCTGTGAGAACTAACATCAGTGATGAATGAATTGTTCCACTGCTCAGCTAGGTTG